AAATAAACTGTTTTATCTTTCTGAATACAACTTTTCGATACACTTAATTTCAACAGTCGCTCTATAACAACGCTATAACTCACATCTCACGTGGCCAACGATATTTTGTCCGCATACATTCAATTACTCATTACCTCCGTGTCGCTTCGTGGCCGGTCTTATATATACAAGACTACACCATATCTAGTAATCTCCCGACAATTCACGAAGGTTCGAAAAGGACGTGGCGTGATACTAAATCACATGACCTTGCTGACGCAACAATATATTAAAAAACACAAATAAACATCGATTTTTGTATGTCACGTGGTATGTTGAATGCAGCAGTGGTTCAAATTAGATGTTTGTGAAGTCAAAATACTAAGTCTGTAGTTTCAAACGAATTATAAACTCAAATTACCGATATTGACAGGCTAGAATATAAAATCAGAGCCTTTTATCTTTCCAATTTGCTAAGATATTACTCATGTAATAAATCAAACACAGTAGCACTCCCGCCCACCTCATTCCATTTTTGTAAACGCTCCCTTATATACACTTACTTCTATATATGACATGGATAACCCCTAGTGGCTTTCTCAGCCACTTAAACGTACTTGGCCCCATTTCTTTCTTTTGAACCAATACTTCAACGAGGTAGAGTGTGTCTTTAGTCAGCTCGAAATTGCATATATTTTTTAGACTAAAATACATCTTAGTTACTAAGATAGATAAATTATAGTGGAATTCTATGGTATTAATGTAGTCATTTATGGTTTTTTAGTTATTCAAATGTATATATAAAACCTAAAAAAAACATTTTGTTTCATATCCTCCACGTGCAATTTTTTAAAGGCTTAGCAACCTATGTCAAGCAGCAACCAAGTACAAAGGTCATAACTAGAAGAGATAATTGTTTGCTTTACTTCTTTATTTATTGTTCTATGTTATTTTCAGAAAAAGAAGTTTATGAACGCATTTCGAAATAGCAATAATCTATATACATATATGATGTATGATAATTGAAATTTGACTGTATTTTACAAAATACTAGTCTACTAAAATACAGCCAAGACAAGTCACTTTGCACAGGCCAAAGTTCAGTTTTATGCTATTTCACACAGTAACATAAGTGCACGTGAGCCGTGTCATTGTAACTTCTGTAGTGTTAGCCTGGCACGGCTGAAAGGTCAATATAATAAAAATAATAAATATATATAAAAATGTATAATGTTATGAGATTTAAGCTATTTAGTCTAAACATTTATATTTTCGTGTTATAATTTGTGTTCATTCTAGAATGAAAGAGGCATAATTTATATTTATTTACTAATTTTTATGGTGGTTGCGAGATCGGTCAAATCTACCAAACCTCTACAGAGATTAGTTACTGAAAATAACAGATAAAATATAAAGTTTTTCTTAAGAAACGTTTGATAACTATCTGGAGATTATAAAGATTTCGGATGTGAAACTTCAAAATTTTCTGATGCATAAAAGTATTTTTAATCTTAAAATGAATATTACTTTGCATGATAGATTGATTTGGTTTTTTTTTTTTAATTTCGCGCAAAGCTACACGAGGGCTATCTGCGCTAGCCGTCCCTAATTTAGCAGTGTAAGACTAGAGGGAAGGCAGCTAGTCATCACCACCCACCGCCAACTCTTGGGCTACTCTTTTACCAACGAATA